CCTCTCCAAAAAAAAAAAAAAAGAGAGAGAGAGAGAGAGAAAGAGAATGGACAAAAACAGTAACAACAACCTGACCCTGTCAAAGTAAATGACTTTTCCTTTCTGTGACCGCTGATAGCTTGTATCATAGTCATTTGTGTATGTTCTCTCTCCTCTCATAGATTGCAATCACTGTGAGGGCTGGGGCCTGTTATTTATCTTTGTATCTAGTGCAGGTTTCCCCACCCCTGATTCTAGTGCATTACTCTGCACATAGTAGGTATTTAAGTAAACTTTTACTGAATTGAATTGGGCTGTGGTTCTAGAGAGCACAGACTGTAGTCTTATAAGGAATTTTGCTTATATTAATCCTGCCCATTCCACGAATCAGGGAATTTGGCAGCTGGGACCTGAGAGATGTTAGTCCAACTTCTTCATTTTATAGATGGGAAATCGAAGCTCAGAGGGGTTAAGAGACTTGTAAGTGGTCACACAGCTAAGACTCTAAGCTCAATGCTCCTTCCAGATCAAGGTGGTGCCACACCCCAAACCCCTAAATGTGGGATAACTGTATTCCTTAATGATCCATTGTCTGTCCTTGTAGGATGATACTTATCTTTGCATGGTAAGTTATTATTGGTTGTAAGTCTATCTCTTTTGCCTTTTGGAATTTTGTATTTCAAGATCTCTTTTCATTTATAGTAAAAGCTGCCAGGTTTCATGTGAACCTAACTGAAGTTCCTTGGTATTTTATCTGCTTCTTTCTGGATGGTTATGGTATTTTTTCCTTGTGAAAGATCTAGATTTTGATTGACCTTCCTGGAACTTTTCCTTTTGGTGCTCTTTCAGGAGATGATTGACGCTTTCTTTCTGTCTGTAAATTACTTTCTGGTTCTATTAGACCTGGGCAGTTTTCATTTATGATTTCCATGCTGGTTGGCATTGTGGTGGTTATTGTGCACTGCCAGGGGGCTTTCAAGGGTCCCAACCTAGGGCTTTTTCAGGTGAGTCCTCTGCTCTTGCTGCCTCTGGAACACAGAGCCTTTCAGGCTGCATGTATCCCATTTCTGCTCCTGCCGGTACTAACTTTGCTTGAGGAGTTTGCTTTCCTATTGACCGTGGATCTCTCTCTGACTTTTAATGTATGGTTCTGGGGTATAAGAAATCACTTGCTATAGTTTCTTATTGGATTCCTTGATCATTACTCTGGGGTGAATTTCAGGGATTTGCTGGGTAGGTATGTGGGAGCAGGGCAGCCTGCTGCCTGTTCAGGCAGCTATCTTGGCAGGAAGTACTTAAAACTTTGTTTTTTAAGAAATTGCCCTCCATAAAATACTGGTGTTTGGTTTGAATTTAGCAGAGAGGAGATTGATCTTACTGCCATTGGCAAAAAATGCAAACTTCTAAACTTATGTAGCCCTTTACAATCTGACCCCAGCTTATCTCTCCAGTAATTTCATATTACTCCCCTTCACATACCTGACATTTCAGCCAAATAGACCTACTCATTGGACTCCAAACTCAGAATTCCTTCTTCTGCTTATGGGTCTTAACAGAAGATGTTCCCCATGCCTGGAATGAGCTTTTTCCTCAGCTTGAGCGTGTAGAATCCCCTTTCCTGCCAGGCTCAGTTTGGGCATCACCGCCTGAGTAAAGCCTTTCCTGGTCCCACTAAACTGTTCGGTTTCTCGAGTTTCTCAGATTATCTTGTATTTTCTTATGTAAATAAAGTCTGCTTCCCAAGTTCATTTCTTCCTCTCAACTCCCATTACAACCCTCTAGGTTCTGGTTTTTATTTCTTTTTGCCCAGTCTATAATAATAGTTGCCTAACTAGTCTTCCAGCCCATAGTTTCTCTGCTTTCTATTCTATCTTTCATATACTTTCCCAAACAATCTTTTTTAATGTGCTGATTTGACCATGTTGCTCCTCTAATCAAAAATTTTTCAATGGTTTTGCATTGTCTTCTGAATAAAGTATAATAAATTACTGATCCCGACCTTCAAAATCTTTTACAATCTAGCTTCAACCTACTTTTCTAGCCTTATTTCATAGTGATCTCCTTCATTTTTTCTGCCTTTGGCAGATGCAGTGGCCCATATCTGTAGTTTCTGATGCTAGGCAGCCTGAGGCTGGTGGATTTCTTGAGCTCAGGAGTTTTGAGCTACAGTAGGGATAAAGTCAATTTATTGTCCATGCTAAGTCTGGCACAAATATGGTGAGCCCCCAAGAGCAGGGTGCTATCAGGCTGCCTAAGGAGGGACCTAGGTAGGAAAAGGAACATGTCAAAGCTTCCATGTAGTTCAGCAGTAGGATCAGGCCCATGAGTGACTGATAAATTTCTAGTCTGGGCAAAATAGCCCTAGTCCTACATTCTTACTCAGCCAAAAAGAAAAAAAAAAACTATTCTGCTTTTCAGCAAACTAGACTAATCTTCATTCCTTTTCCCATCCTGTCTGTGTGCCTGGAATGGGGTCTGATCCCCATTCATTTTCATCCATCAAAGTCCCTTCCTTCTTCAAAGCCCAATTGAGGCACCATGCTTCCAAGAATACTTTCTTGACCTCCCTCTCCATCTCAAGTCAAAGATATTTTTCCCCTCTCCAGTTTATCGTAGCACTTTGCCAGGACTTTTCCTTTTTACACAACCTCTTGGTATAACAGTTATTTGTATGTATGCCTTTCCTCCAATTAGATCATAAACACCTTGAAAGCAAAGTGTCTATCTTTGTATCCCCAGAGCCTGTGCTGGAGTTCATCTAAGGTTCCTTTCAGCTGGGAGTCCTATCATCCTCTTAAGTAATGAAGTCCTAGAGAGAAAGGAGGGGCTGGATATGTGCTCAGGTAGTAGGCGTTTCTCAGGAAAGTACCTTTCTTTTCCATCAGCTATAGAAAAACTGATTTCAGAGATTGGCTCAGCCAAAAAGGAGCACAGGTAGGATCTTCAGCGCCTAGACAATGTGCTTACTTTTCATTCTCATTTCTTCAATTCAAATTGATTTCACACAAAAATTTTTCAATTTCACATAATCAAAACAGTCTATTTTCTCATCTGGAATTGCCTCTTGTTCCTTGTTTAGGTGAGAACTCTTCTCCTAGCCAAAGCTGTGAAAGAGATCTGATCTGGTTTTCTTCTAATTATGAAAAAAAAGATGTGATCTTGAATGTTCAGGTGGTATAACCATTAACCATTTTGAGTTTATTGTGCCAAACAAGCGTAAGAGGGTGGTCAAAATCCATTCTCTGCCAAACTGCTTTTCAGTTTCCCAGCAGTTCTTATTAAATAAGGAGTTCTTCCCCAAGTAATTTATGCTCAGGCTTATCAAACACTGCGCTGTTAAGTTCATCTGTTTCTGACTCATCTGTTCTGTAATCCATTTTTCTATTTTTAAAAATAGTACCAAATAGTTTTGATGAGGATTGCTTTGTAACACTGTTTAAAACATGTGAGAGCTGTTTCCTTTTTATTCCTTTTTTCATTATTTTCCTTGAAATTCTAGCCCTTTTGTTCTTCCAAATGAATTGTTACCATTTTGTCTAGCTCTATAAAGTATTCCCTTTGTAGTTTAATTAGTATAACACTGTAAGTTAATTTAGGTAGTATCATCATTTTTATTATATTGGTGTGACTCATCCAAGAACAACGAATATTTCTCTAAGTATTTAACTCATTATTTCTTTAAAGAGCATTTTGTTATTGTGCCTATAAAAATCTTGAGAGTAATTCAGACCAGTTCAACAAGTATTATTAATCCCTGAACTCAAGAGCTAGGAATTTTTAGGGGGTCCAGACCTATGATTTCATCAGGGTTGGGAACTTCTGGTGTAGAAACTACCTCTTCTTACACAGATCACCAGCTGTCTTTTCTTTCTTTCTTTTTTTTTTTTTTTTGGCTAGGGGTTAAGTGACTTGCCCAGGGTCAGATAGCTAGTAAATGTCAAACATCTGAGGCCAGATTTGAACTCAGGTCCTCCTGACTCCAGGACCGGTGCTCTATCCACTGCACCACCTAGCTGCCCCTCAACAACTGTCTATAAACTTATTCCACTCAAATCCCTTTGGTGTAAAGATTAATCTGGAATAATGGTAGGGGAAAGGAGGAGGAAGCAGGCAAGGAATCAGGGCAAAAATGGGAAAAGGCTAGGGTGGTGGGTATAATGGGAAGTAGATTAAATTCTGTGAAAAGTGATAGTTCTTCCAACTCCACAATCTGAGATTGCATACCCTGAAAGTCAAATTCCTTTCTCTCTAAGCCAGAGCCTTCCCATCTTTTCAAATATAGGGAATTTTTTTTTTAATGTAAAAAACTTTCCAGTACCTTCTTATTAGAGCTAAATGAATATTTTAAAAAATGACAATGCCCCTTACAACAAACTGCATTTCCTAGGTTGGAAGTCATTAATCACTGTAAGATTTGCTGGTGCCCCATGAAAATTACCTAGGTATCTTGAGAATGGATGATCAAATTGGTTATAATTCTAGGTACTGAGGCCCTAGAAATTTCTCTCTATATATCCCACTTCTCCATCCCCCTCCTTACTCACAACCCTGTCCCTTCCCTTTTTTCACTCAAAATGATTTTTTTGTTTAGCACTTTCTTTTTTTAAATTTTTTTTTATATTTATTTGGCTAGGCAATGGGGTTAAGTGACTTGCCCAGGGCCACACAGCTAGTAAGTGTTATATATCTGAGGCTGGATTTGAACTCAGGTCCTCCTGAATCCAGGGCCAGTGCTCTATCCACCGCACCACCTAGCTGCCCCACGCTTTAATTTCTTTAAATAATATCTATATAATTTCTTCCCATTAGATTGTGAGCTCCTCGAGGGCTGGAACTGTTTTTTGCCTCTCTTTGTATCCCCAGTGCTTAGCATCATGCCTCACTGATGTGCTTAATAAATAGATGCTTATTGACCAACTGACTTTATAATTCCAAAGTCCTGACATATACCTCTTCTATTGAAATAGCTTTATAAAGATGGGTTGGAGAAGGTAAGGGAAATAGGAGAGCCACACACGGGGAAGAGTTGGCACCAGTTGTATTTCCTCCACTTGAGCCAGAATTCCTCAGTCTACATAGAGGCTTTTAGCATGTTCTGTAGCCTTGCCAGATGGAGCAGACCAGTAGTTCTTTCCCTGGGCAGGGACACAGAGTTACACAAATATGCCCATGCTTGAGGGGGAGGAACACATAGTCATGTGATGAGCTTCATGCAAAATTATGGAGGCAAGACTTCTTTTTGGACAGAAACCAAAGTAACACATTCATCCTGCCTAAGAAATGCTCTAAGGGAGTGACATTAGCAGCAACCTGAATTTTCCCATGGCCAGAGTTGAGTTCTTGGGAAGGGAAGTCCCAAGTACTGGAGAAGCCTATCTCAGAGGCTATCTCAGAGGCAGAACAGAAACGTTGTTGAGGCCATGAATCCTTATAGCACCTGTCTGTTTTCCACCAGAGCTTTCTGGAGACCCTCAGTGTCCCCTCTAGCTCCAAGTCCAGTCTTGCTCCAACATCCTGGGCTCCATGGTGATAAGATGGGGTATACAGCTCAGCTAAATTTTTGCAGATCTGGAAAAGACCGAGCAGAGTCATGGGACTCAGTTTCCTTACAAATAAAGTCCCTCTCTCCAAACTGGTCATTTACTTTCTTTCTCTATTCCCAAACCTATTCCCAAACCCATGATAATATCATATTCCTCCCCTTCCCTTCTGTACCTTTTCTCCCTTGAAGACCAGTGTCCTTCACCCTTGGGGTCCCTCCCTGGCCCCTTCCCAAAGAGGTCTCCATCCCTATCTAAAAGAAACCAAAGTAACTTTTCAGGTGGATCAAAGGCCCACCTCCCCCGCCATCACACTGCTTACAACGCCAGACTGTGGTCTTGACCTTTCCAAATCCATTGTCAAAGCCATTGCCATCCACGTAGAACATGAATCGGAGCTCAGGGGGGTAATCTCTTCGGGCCAGGCCAAACAGCAGAGGTATGGTGTGGCCCTCAGATGCAGGGGCCTCACTTAGTGCCTGTAACATTTGGTACTTGCACCAAGGGTCCTGAAGGAAATGGGGGGTGATAAATAGTACACAGCAATGGCTGTTTCCCATTGCCTGGCACAGTTCGGACACGATGGCACCACCTGGGGCTGCGTCCCGAAGCTGCAGGAAGCATCGAAGTCTGTCGGGCTCACCCTCCAGATAGGAAACCAATTCCTGGACAGCTATCAGGTCTTGCTCACTATGGCACACACATACGTCATAAGTTTTGCACCAGCGAGAGCTGCTGCTTGTGCTCTCTGTGTCTGCTGGGTTTGGGGTGGGAACCTTGGTAGATTCCTCAGTCTCAGGTAGAGAACTGCTTTGGGAGGGTAGCTCTAGCACATCCTTGGTGTTGGTATCTGGCCGCACATGGCGTTTCTTGGGCTTACGCAGGATCTGTCGGAACCAGCCTGAAGAAGACAGAGAGCAGAGCAAGGGGAAATGAATGAGGATAATCTTGACAGTGAGGGACGGAGAATTTATATTGAAAAGACAGAAAAAGGGAAGGACAGAGCAGGCCTAGTATGGTCCCAATAAAGCTTGGGTCATCACTGGGAAAGGAAGAATACAAGAATGAGACAAGGCAGCAGCAAAGCTCCTGAGGTTTAGATAGACACAGCCCACTAAGACTTTTTTTTTTCCCCCAGAAAACCAGCGTGAGGCTCTTTCTAGGGCCAGAAGGGTTTGGAACTGTTGGAATCTGGTGCTTCCCTGAGCTGGATGCTCTTTTCTCAGTGGAGAATGAGGATGGCCGGGGCAGGCATTGAAATGGAAGCAGACAGGTCTCTATGCCCTAGGCATGCAACTGAGAGACCTTTAGATCAAGAAGGTCATCTAGAATCAGGAAAAGTCCTAGAGAAGAAACTGGCTGGACAATACATGACCAATCTTTTTTTTTTTCTTTCTCAGAGGTGTAAAGACTTTATTACAGAATTTAAACTTGGAGGAGGTTGTAAGACTTGAGATCATCTAATCCAAACCCCTTATTTTACAAATGGGGAAACGGGGCCCAAAAGGTCACAGAACAAATCTGCAAAGTCAGAAATAAAATGCAGATCTTTCTGACTCCTAGTTTTAAGCCAAGCTGGGCCACTGGCCTCTCACTTCCCAATTTCCCTGGGATTTCTACCCAGGAGCCTTCCCCACCCTCTCCCCTTCCTCTCCTCCCCTCAGATATAAGACCTATATCTAGATAATAAGGAATTAGCATATACCCAGCCCTTTCCTTGAAATAGGAGTCAAATCCTAAAGCAGTTTAGTTCTACTCACCAGCCATCCTGTCCTGGCCCTCTAATTCAGGAGCAAGGAAATGAAGGTGAGATTGATGCCACTTGATTTGGGCTTGCAACTAATCTGTGGGAGGCAGAACACTGGTGGGACAGGGGAAGCCTCAGTCTAGGTCAAGCGCCATGGAATAGCCATCCTGTGAGGGATAGTCACAGATACCATCATGTCAAAATAGGACAGTCCTTGGCTTCAAAGGGTGCATGGGCTCCTAAAGGTCCCCTTTCTGATCTAATGGCCCATATGGGTTCTGTCTCTTGATTTCTCCATGGGACTGGTTCACAGTTACTAGAATTTGTTTTTCATTAAACCTACATCAGTGTAGCAAAGGCTGTGAGTTTTCAAGATCCAGGGGCTAACAAACTCAGCATGCCTAGTTAGTCATGATGGCCACTAGTCCTGGAACCACTGTAGTGAGGAAACCTGGATTATCTAAGCCCATTAAGCATGGATGCTGAAACAGGACTAGGAAATGGCTGTGCAGATGGGGAGATCAATCAACAGATATTTTTAAAGAGCCTATTATGTGCTAGGTACTAGGTATACAAAGACAAAAAAAGAAACAGCCCTTGTCTTCAAAAAGCTTACATTCTATTGGGTGAGACAACATGTACATATCTATGTATACAAAATAAATACTGGGTAATTTTCAGGGGGAGGCACTAGTAGTCAGGAGGATGATCAGGAAAGGTCACATGTAGAAGGTTATACTTTGAAAGGAATAAGTGATTCTAAAAGCTAGAGAGATTCAATTCAACAAATATCCATTAAATACCTACTAGGTATAAAGCGCTGGGTTTGTTGCTTTCAAGGAGCTGGTATTCCACTGATAGGATATAAAATGCCCAAGCTAAGCAAATACAAAATATATACAATATAATACAAAGTCATTTCAAGAGGCAGAGAATAGATAGGGGCATCTTACCTTCAGTCATGTGGTTTTTCCTGTGTAGACAGACACATGCGGAGGTCGACATGAGACAGGTAGAGAGCTCTAGAGGGAGACAGTGAGACAGGAACACAGTGACACACAGAAAGATCAATACGGGGCTAAGGGAGAGACTCGGCTGTTTGAGGCTTTTTTTTTTTTTTTTCCACAGTGGAAGAATGACATCTTAAGACGAAAATCAGATTGCAGTTTGGTTTTTTTAAAAGTGCAAAAGAGTAGTTGAAAGGAGAGGGAAGAGGAAGAAGGTGGAATGGGGAAAAGGAGCCTGCGTGAAATGGAACAGGACACCAAAGCAGAGAGACGCAGCAGAGGAGACAGACGGGGGAGGGGTGGTGGTGGCAGAAAGGGTCCTTTCTGGACAAAAAAGCACAGCTGGAGCTCAGGCTTCCAGTTCCTCACTCCGTGCTACGGTTCTGTACGCCTCCCAGGGAACACCTCCAGTCCCGTTCTGCCCTGCCCTGGTGAGTTTAGAAGTTTGAAGGCTGTCCAGCTGCAACCTCCTGAGTCCTTCCTTAGGTGATAGCATGGTGTTCCCCACCCCACCCCCCGCCCCCACCACCACTTCTCTTCCCCCGACCCAAGGACTCACCAGGGAGGGGAAGAGCACCCTTAGACTCAAAGCTGTGGTAGTTTCTCTGGCCCCGCCTTTGACTCAGAAAGGAAGTGAGTGGTCAGAGGAGGGTGGTTTCAGGCAGAAATAGTTCCAGACGGAAGTAAAGGAGTCCTTGCACTCCTGAGCCCTTCCCGGCAAAGCTTAAACCCTCAACCTCTTTTTTTTTTTTTTATAAATTTCTAACTGAAATTCAGAATTTCCTTCAATTATTTATTTTCCAATTTTAACATTTTTAAAGTTTTGAGTTCCAAATTTTATCCCTCCCTCTTCTCTCCCTGCGATTAGTAATCGATTATAGATTATAGATGTGCAATTATGTAAAACATTTCCATATTAGTAATTTTGTACAAGAAGACTGGATTAAAAGAAAAAATGAAAGAAAGTGAAAAATAGCATTCTTCAGTCTGTATTCAATCAATATGAGTTCTTTCTCTGGAGGCGGATAGTATGCTTCAACATTAGTCCTTTGGGATTGTCTTGGATCATTGGATCGAGGAGAATAGCTAAGTCATTCATAATCCTTCATTGCACAATATTGGGGTTACTGTGGAGGACGTTCTCCTGGTTCTGCTCACTTCACTATACATCAGTTCATGTAAGTCTTCTCAGGCTTTTCTGAAATCATCCTGTTTGTCATTTCTTGTAGCACAATAATATTCCATCACAATCATATGCCACAGCTTGTTTATCCATCCCCCAATTGATGGGCATCCCTTTGATTTTCAATTCTTTCTTTTAAATTATATTGTTGTATATGTTGTATTATTGTATATGAGTTTTAAATTTTTCTCTCCCTCCCTCCCCACTTTCCTCCCCAAGAGGGGCACACAATCTGATATAGGCTATATGATTTTCAATTCTTAGCCACCACAAAAAGAGCTGCTATAAATATTTTTTGTACAAATAAGTCCTTTTCCCTTTTGTGGGATGTCCTTGGGATATTGACCTAGCAGTGGTATTGCTGGATCAAAGGGTATACACTGTTTTCTAGCCTTTTGGCCATAGTTCCAAACTGTTCTCCAGAAAGGTCTTCAACCTCTGAAACCTCCATTGTGTACACGGCCGGGGGTGGGGAGGGGTGGGGGGGGGGGTGGAGGGCAGTCAGCAATACGACTGAGATGTTTAGCAAAGTAAAAGGCTGTTGGACCTCAGGTGACTCATCCCTCTTGGCTAAGCTCAGGCATCTTCATGTAACTTTTTTTGGGTCTGGTTTGGATTTGAACTACTGCTCCCTCTCCCATCTCAAGCTCATCTGCCCTACTCTTCCATCTTTCTCTCTTCAACCCATATCTCAGTAGGTCCAATCAGATGAAAGCCCTCATTCCCTCCTCCTAGATTTTCATCCCTTCTATCCATGATTTGCCCTCCACCCTTATTATGAACTCCCCCAAATCCTTGGCTTTTTCCTTAATTGCTTCTAACACTTTTTAGCACTAACTGGAACCTGGCTGTTCCTTGAGAATACCAAGTCCTGGGCAATCCCCTCCTAAAGAGGCTGAATCTTGTCCCCTTCATCTTTCAGGATGTCAGTGGGCATGGCATACCTTCACCCCTCCTCCCCTTACTTCTAGACCTTTTGCAACCATTACCCAACAACCTCTCATCCTTTGAAATCTATGCCATCAGGTTAAACTACCCCTTCTCCACCCTTGTTGAAGTCATCTACCAACATCCAGGAAATCCTCCTTCAGTTATTTCAGCACCTATCTCACAATTTTCTTTTTCCATCCCCAACTCCTATTTTTGGGGACTTTACATGGTTCCTCGATTTCCTTAACTCTAGTCATCTCCATCACAGGATTTCAGCCACCTCCCAAATATGGACAGCCCATAACAATTATCATCAGTGCATATTACTATACCCTGCAAGTGTCAGCAGTAGAATTATAATTCCAAGACCAGTCTCCAATAGCCATTATATTATGCTGCCTCAGTTCCTACTGTCTCTGCTGTGGAATCTATGACTTCCGTACTCAGCTTGCATCCATCCTGTGATCAGGCATTTCTGGGATGCTCTTCCCACCACCTCAGGATACTTTGTCCTTCCATCATTTCTACCTTGTTTATCCCCTTAGTAAGGCCTACTCTGTGCTTTAACCATTTCCACTCCAGAGGTGCCCAGTCCTGATGGAGAAAGTAGTACAGCCTTGTTTATTTCATCCATTATAAGTTTATATTCATAAACTCAGCTGGATCCTTTATGCGGCAGTCCTTTTTTTTTTTTTAAATCACCTCCCTCATTCTCCACACAGGCTGTTCCAAATCTCTCTCCTCCAATCCACTAAACCTTGCCTCCACATTCCAAATTTTCAGCTAGTGACTGTGCTTCCTACTTTCCAGAGAAGACTGACGTTATCCAATATAAAATATTTGTATAGTAGCCTCTTTACCATGCCTTACCTCCTCTCCCATTTAAAGAGGTGAACCTCCTCCCTTCTAAGGCTGACTTGTGCTCTTACTTTCATCTCTTTGTCTTCCAGTACTTGATTCTATTCATCATTCCTTTTATTTTTAGTTTCCAAGCTTTCCTACTCTATTCCCCTCTGCCTATAGCTACACAGCTCTCCCCTACCCAAAACAAACAAAATCCCTCTCCTTTGCTCTATTTGTCTCTCTCCTCAAGCAACAGTCTCATCTTTTTCACCATTTTCGTCACAGCATTTCTGGCATGAGAAATCTATTTTAGTTGTCTCGATTCCTACGTCACTCCCCCTCACCCCACCTATTCCTCAACCTGTTGTAACCTTGCTTCATTCTGTTGAAACTTCCCTCCAAGGTGACTTACATCAACCCGAATTCAAGAGAAAATAGCCAACATAGCAAAATAGAGGTGTTTCATCGGGGCAAGTGAGCTGCAGCTCCAGGTGCCACACAGCAAGTGCTGGGATACCCAAAGAGGGGGGCTGGAAGCCGGGTTTATACAGGTATTAAGGCAATAGGAATGGCCAAGCTGCAAGTGGGAGAGGTTTAGAGAGAGGGATTGGCCAGGTTGCAGATGGGAGAGGTTAGGGGCCTCTCAGTTTCTCACAGTAAGTTGTTTTGCATAACAAGCAAAAGTCCGCAGAGAAAGCTTGGGAATCTCAGAAGGGGAGAGTTTGGGAGATTTATAAAATAATCAGAGGCAGGGAGGGACGAAGTTTGATAAGCCCCAGGCAATTCATTGGCCAGGGAAGGGAGCCTAGGTCAGCTTCCGTCAGCTTAGTTAGACACTACAACCTGATTATCAAACCCAATGGCATTTTCTCAGTCTTCATCCTCTTTACCCTTTCTGCAGCATTGACCATGTTGATTCTTTTCTAGTTACTTTCTTGGTTTTTGTGATGACACCACTCTCTAGGTTTTCCACTTATCTCCCTAACTCCCTTTCTCTCCTCCTCTTTTTTTCCCCCTGCGGTGCTAGAAAGAATACTGGGTTTAGAGTTAGAAGACAGGTACAAATCTTGACTTTGTCACTTAGCTATGTGACTTTAAACAAGTCATTCAACCCCTTAAGGTTTCAGTTTCCTAATCTGTAAAATGAGAGAGCTGGGCAAGATGAGCTCTAAGGTTCTTTTGGGTTTTAAATCTTACGATTTCTTAACATAGACATTATCAGAGTTCTCTCCTTGTCCCTCTTTTCTTCTGTCTTCCTTGGGGACCTTTTCTATTCCTTCAGTTTCAAATATCACCTCTTTGCAGATGGCTTCCAAATACACCTCTAACTTTCACTTCTTTCAGGAAATCCAGAAGTTTCCTGGATCTTTCCACCTGACTCACCAGTAACCCATACCATCTCAAACTAAACTTATTTCTCCTCTAAAACCTGTCCATCTTCTAGACCTCCCTATTTTTCTATCTAGTCATTCTAATTGTAAAGTCAACTTTGATCCCTCCTTGATCCTCGCCCTCTGCCATATCCTGTAGTCAGGTTTCAATTCGAGTTTTACAATCTCTCTTCCACCAATCCCCTTCTTATCATTTCTGCTGAGATCCCTCAAGTTCAGGCACTTATTTCATTGTGAACTGAACTCCTGCAATACCCGCCTAGTAAGCCCTCCTCTCTCTAGTACCTTCCCTCTTCCAATTTGTGGTACACACCTGCCAGCAGATTCTTCTTCCTCATATACAGCTCAGGTCCCATCACTGTTCACAAACGTTAATGGATCCCCATTGCCCGGGAGTAAAGTCCAGACTCTTTAGCCTAGTCTTTAAAGCCTTCAAGATCTGACTCCAACCTTTCTAGCTTCTCTGAAGCTATTCTTCTTCATTGAATTTATCATTTTCTGAACATGATCTGCACTTCCATCACCATTATTTGCTCAGTCCTGCATTCCTCCATCTCTACCCACTGCAATCCCATCTAACCTTTGAGCATTGTCTCTGCCTCTTCTGTGAAGCCTTCCTTGATTCCCTTTGCTGGTATTATCATTCTCTTTCCTGAAGCATTTTATTTGTAATTCTCATGCACTTGTCATATTTTCATTTGTGTTAGGCTTATTGGTGTACATGTTTTATTTTCTCCATTGTGGAGACAAAGACAAGAATTGTGTATTATTTGACTTTCTATCACCCTCAGTACCTAGCACAAATTAGATGCTTAATCTATGCTTTTGCAATGAACTCCAGTGTTCATTAGTGAGGGCACAGCAGGGGCTGTCTCTGCTATTGAGTAAACCTCAGGGACACTTGCCAAGGTAGAGCAATGGGAAGCTAAGCACAGTAGGGGTTGAGAGCAAACTAAGGGGAGAGATAGGTGGGAATGGAGCTGTTGGTGGGGCATAACCATGTTGTTCCAATTCCATATTCTTTGGCCTGGAAACCCACACTTGAACCCAGCTTCCAAGTTCACTCTCATTCATACGGAGGGAGAAAGACATTCTACTCAGTTGAAATACTGTGTGTAAGGACAGGGAAAAGAGTAATTCAGTGCATTCCCTACCCATTTTAGTTATGTAGTCTCAAATGGGGTGCTTTCTACCACTTATCCATCCACTGCCTCACCTCTCTACTTCCTGCTTCTTAGCAGAGAACTTCATCAAATACTTTACTGAAAAAACCAAGGCCTCTTCTCAACTCTACATTGCAAGTCCCCTCAACATTATTCCTGACCCTTTCCTCCATTCTCAGGGGAAGAGGTGGCCCTTCTCCTTGCCAACATGCATGATTCCATGTCTTCCTGAAGACTACTCATTAGATTATCACTTCTAATTTTCTACTTCTCTTTGTACGTTGGCTCCTTCTCCATTGCTCACAAATGTAGAGATCTCTCATCCTTGAAAAGTCTTCACTTAATTTTGCCATCCTTTATTTCATATCCAAACTCCTAGAAAATGAGCTATGCTCTTTGCTCCCACTTTTTTACATCCCACTTCCCTTCTTAACTCCTTACAATCTGGCTTCTGACCTCCTCATTCAACTGAAACTACTCTCCAAGTTTACAATGATTTATTGTTTGCCAAATCTAGCGGCCTTCTCTTGGTTCTTATTCTTGACCTTTCTGTGGCATTTTAAAAAATTAATTTCTTTTCAGCTAATGAAACATCTACTTTCTGTTCCTTCTTCTCCCACTCCATTGAGAAAGAAAAAACACCTTGTAATAAATATGCATAGTCAAGCAAAGTGAATTTTTGTATTGGTCATGTCCTAAAATATGTATGCCTCAATCTGCACCCTGTGTCCATCACCTGTCTGTAGTATCATAAGTACTCTGGGATTGTGGTTGGTCATTATGTTGATTGGAGCTTAAATCTTTCAATGTAACCTGCCATCACAATGTTGTTGTTACTGTATAAATTGTTCTCCTAGGTCTGTTCACTTAACTCTCTGACTCCGTTTGGGGTTTTCTTGGCAAAGATACTGCAGTGGTTTGCCATTTCCTCCTCCAGGTCATTTTACAGATGAGGGCAGAGTGAAGTGATTTGCCCAGGGTCACACAGCTAAACTGTCTGAGGCCAGATTTGAACAACTCAAGATGAGTGTTACTGACTCCAGGCCCCACACTCTATCCATTTCGCCACCTAGCTGCCTTCTGCTAAGTAATAAGCACTTAACTAAATACTTGTTGAATGAAAATTACGGCTTTTCTGGAATCCTGACCATTATGGTTTGATTGTAAAGGGTTTTCTCTACAGCCATGCTATAGTAGGTTTTCTGGGTGATGAAGAAACTGAGGTTCAGAGAAGTTATATAATTTGCCCAGAGTCAGCTGGTGGCACAGTGAATGGAGTGCTGGGCTGGAGCCAGGAAGACCGGAGTTCAAAATCAGCCTGGAACACACACTAGTGTTGTGACTCTGGGCAAGATATTTTTAATCTTTCTGCCTAAGTTTCCTCAACTGTGAACTGGTGATGATAATAATAGCTTGACAGAATTGTTGTGAAGATCAAATGAGATAATATTTATAAAGTGCACATAATATTTGTACAGTGCACGAAGTAGGTACTGTATAAATGCTTTATCCTTTTCCTTTCTCCTCCCAATATCACACAACTCATGTCAGAGCCAGGTCCTTCCTGGCTTCGAGCCCAGTGCTCTTTCCACCATATACTGTCTTTCGGGTGAGGAAACAGACCACAAAAGATTAAGTGTCTTGGCTAAGGTGACACAACTAGTAAAAAGCAGAGCTTTGAATCCTGGTCCTCTGATTTAAAATTCTGTTCCTTTTCCATACACCACAATGCCACTCTCCGAGACTCTTCCCCTGCGGGGAAGGGTGAATGAAGCCAACCAGTGGAGCGGTTCATTAAAGTCCTCTGGCCTCCTAATTCAAGCATTTTTAAAAGGAATGCACACAGTTTCTCCTGTTTACTATATGACAACTTTTACTGGACAAAAACTTAACAAGTATTATATGAAAATTGGGCTTTACAATTAGGGCTTTTTCCCAAAGTAATTCACCCGTGAATATTAGGCTGTGCAATGGTTAATGTTGGTGGCAAATTTAACCCATTCGTGCTCTCCAGTTCCTCCCTGTCTGCTACCCGAGGGCCGTCTTGTCGTCCTGATCTGTATCTTGCCATGGACCCAGATGGCTCCAGAGAAGGTGAGGCTGGTGACTTTGCACAGCCCTCCCTCACTTAAATCCAATTCACTTGCATCTCATGGCATCACCTCCCTGATGTCATGGTCTTCTTCAAGAATGAAGGACAAATGACAACAGCATGCTCTACCCTTACCCTGTTTACTAAGGATTGTGGGTTCCTGGCTGGCAGTCATAGCAATGATGACTGGATCAGGAATTAGGACCTATGACACAGGAATGCTCTTGAGGAGAAGCTCAGTTTTCCATGTCCTGAAAAGTCATGTATAGTTAGTGGTTATCAAAGGCACCTACCCTTGGCTTTAAAGAAGAGGGTACAGTGTGTCAGGGCGGAAGGAGTTAAATGGATTTATTGACTGATGAACAGGGTAAAGAAATAAGTCAGTAGGCTTGGGTTCAGGCTGTCACAAAGTGCCCAGACCTTGACTGATGAGTAGTTGAGAAGCTTCTTGGACAGGTGCCAAGTGAAGAGCTGGCACTTCAGCACTCTTGATGTATTGTGACCAGTCTGGTTTCCGGCTGTGAGTGAGCTCCAACTACGATTAGGAAGCAATCCTGGGAACCAGCCTCAATTGTCTGTGTCCTCCCAGTGCTTGGATAGTATGGCTCAGAGGCAGCAGTGCAGGGGGCTTGGGTATCACAGAAGACTTGCATGCTGGTCCTTGACTATCTGAGAAGGTTGTTCTTGGTAGCTTATTCCTCATAGACAAAGGGATAGACAGACCTAAAGAAAGAGGGGAGAAAAGGACACTTAGGTCAGGTCTAGCTAAATCCAACTTATTCCTACCTGGGAAAAGGAGTCTCTAGCATAGCCATGATGGTACAAGATAGGAAGAGGGCTGTGGTTATAGGAAGGGACTGCAGATATGGGTGAGGGGTGGGGCCTGGTTGGGAAAGTGATGCTTACAAGCTTAGATAATATAGTCCTCGAAGACCTTTTCCTCCTGGTAGAATCGATTGAAGGAGAACACGTTTAGGTCAATAGTGCTGAACTCTCCATTCAGCAGTATTTCTGCCACAGCACGTCCCACACCAGGGGCATGTTGTAGCCCATGGCCACTGAAGCCCGTGGCAAAGTACATGTTGGAGACCAGTGGATGAGGGCCCACTACGCCATTCTGGTCAAATGTGTTGAAATCATAGTAGCCAGCCCAGGCACTCCGTACCTGTATAGAGTTACAGCAAGAATTTTAGCATTCTGAACCCTTATACTTGGCAAACATTAACCCACCTCTCTACCCCATTAGCCCCAGTTCCCAGATAGGATAAATGACCAAGGGTATTCTTAGGACCACCTTAACAGACTCCCCAGTAACAGAAGTAGGGTTAGAGAGCTTCCATTGGTACCAGAATTCTCCCAGTGCTATTTCCCCTTATCCCCTAACAAGGAATTCTCCCAGTCAATTACCTTCAGGGAATTGAAAGCTGGAACCCTATGGGTTAGATGGGGCCATATCTTTTTCTGAAAGAAGTCATGATCTACTTCTAGATCTTGAGTCTTTGGTTCATCTTCCTAAGGTAAAAGCAGGGTGTGGGGAAAGGAGGTGGGATCTCTTTTGCCCCACAAGTCACATTTTAGGCTGAGCAGGTGCAACTGATTCCTTTTCTTGTCCCTTTTTGGAGACAGCCAGCTCTCCTTTCTTCTATATCAAACTTCAAGGAGACTGTAGTACCAACTGTGCTGGGCACACTGCAGAAAAGTCCCTAAGTAATTGGTTAACTGATAACCACTGAAGTTTATTATCTAAACTCTTCCCCTTGCTACCCAAAGATTTCATTTGGAACTCCCAGCTTACCTCCATGGGGCTACAGCCACCTAAGTAGTAACCACCTAGTCCTTCTCTTCTGAAATAGACTCCACTGATGTCTATAATTAATGGGGCCTCCAAGCCTGGCCCCTGTGGGCAATGCCAAACATACACATACCTGCCATATTCCAGGGAGAACGGAGTCAGGGGAGACCTGCACTCCCTCCTCCAACTCCCAATCTTTGGCCCCCTTCCTCCCTCACCTACCCAGAACCCTATCACCTTTTTCTTGGCTCCACAGGAAGCCTGGTGCCTTGCAAAGTGCCTGGGGGCCCAATGCCAATTCCAGCCAGCTCTGCTAACTGCCCAGACCAGGCCCCAGCAGCATTGACCACTATAGCACACTCCACAGGTTGGTATTCCAGGCTGTTGTTCATCTTCACCTGTGGGGATCAGGGGGATGAGGGAAGGTCTAGATAGGGAAGGAGGCAGTTTTTGTCTAGCACCAGGCACCACAAAAGATTCATTCCCTTCTGAGTCCTTGACAACTTTTGCATCATGGCCAGTGGGCAAAAGATTAGTTTCCATAGAAGCAGGCAAGAAAACGAGATGGATGTGAGAAGGGAAGGTTAAAATAAGGATAATCACTGTTCACTGCTTTGAGTGCTTACTTACATGGACCTCATAAATTCTTTTAATGTTTACTTGTTCCCCTCTGGAAGTCACCATGGGCCTCACTGAAGAGACTAACTCTGGAGAAGAGAGAGGAAAATGGCCTCTTGTGTCCCAGGGAAGGAAGCTGAAGAGGAGCCCAGGCCTGCCCCAGTCCAGAAGTAGGGTAAAGGCCAGGCCTTCTCACAGGTGTCGGGCAAGGCTGAGCTCATGTAATTAGGAAGAACGGGACTAAACACAATCTGAAGAGGACTGAGATCCTCAAAGAGAACCCAGGCTATAGAAGAGACTAGTCATTGGGTAAAGCAAGAGCGAGGGCACCTAGGACCATCGCCTACCTTGCTTAGCCTAGAGATAAAAATGAAAACCTCCTTTCAGGACTTGGTTGGTGAAAAGTACAAGGGCAAGGTATGAGACTCACCAGTGACCTCCCCATAGCTGTGATAGACCCCCATAGACAAAGCCTTTCGGCGCAGTCCCTGAAGCAGGCACCACGGATCAAACCAGCCCTCATTCTCCAGCCCTAAGCAGGGAAGACAGTGAGAAGGAAGTGGCTTTACCTATCCAAGTGGACAAAAGTCAAAGCCAGATGAAGTACAGATTGACTATATATAGAGAGACTACTGCCCTGGGGCTCTCACTCAAATCCTTTAGAAAAGGATGGAGCCTTCTTTTTTCCTTTGAAAAGTCTCACCATAAGATGCCAAGACTACATCCTCTGTGTTGATCCAGGGAAATTTGTTTTTAAGTTGTTCAGGGGACAGCAGACACACTTTGGCTCCTGTTTGCCTGAGAAAAATGGAAGGGGGAGGAGAGCTTAGAAAAAAAGGACAGGTGGAGAAGAATGTTTATATGGAGGACCAGAACTAGAAAAACATCTTGTTTTCTTTTCATGAGAGATGAGACTAGCTCCACCTTTGTGACACTCTCAGGAAGAAGCACAGTCTTTACATGTGGGATGGGGAGGCCTCACACTTCCATCTTAAATGACTTGCAAAGAAGTGAAAATAGAATGGGATGTAGAGCATGGAGAGATATCTGGAAGATGCTCATCACAGTCTCTGCCAGGCACCCACCTCTGCATTTTTACATTGCATTCCATCTCTGAGGCATTTCCTTCTGAAGCCAGCATAAGATAACCTGAGGGACAGAACTGGATATCTAGGGGAGGCTCATCAGGAACAGCTAGGTATTCCTGTGGGATGTAGAGAATATGGTTGGGGTGACAGCCATTATGCTCCATGGTAGACCACTAACTGCAATGACAGGGAGGTCCTCAGAAGGACTGGGTAGCAGCTCCCTGGCTTCCCATCAGTGACCTTGGAAATTTCCAAACCTAGAAGCCTCCCAGTCATCATTATTGGGAAGAAAGAATCAGGTCTCCTGACTCTAAATATAAACCCTGCTTTCCTCAGCTGGCTAGGCCCCTTCTCCTTCTGGGCTAATGGCAAAATTATTTCCCCACCTTTTCCCCAAGCCCTCACATACATTGATGTTACGGAGGAATTCAACGGAGAAGAGAGATAGCTGGACGCTCTGAGGGATTGAGAACTGCTGCCGAATGCCTCCTATGGAAAGCACGGTGGAGGCCTTAGAGTACTGCAAGACACAAGATGGGATAAAGTTTAATCAGCCATTGGGATAAACATATAGAGTGCTGTACTTAGAGGTATCAGGTCGAGTTGGAGGAGAGTCATGCCCTCAAAATGGGTAAATGTGAAAGCAAATCAATAAGGAACCTTATATCAATGCACAAATCAATTCAGATCAGCAGATGTACAGAAAAAGGAGGGTCAATTTGAATAAAGAGGGTTAGGAATAATGGGGAGCCCAAGATGAAGTTTGAAATTTAATACTTTCCTGGTGGAATTGCAAACCAGTAGTCTTTTTGGAAAGCAATCTGATAGTACACAGCCAAAGTTGTAAAAATAATCATACCCCTTAACTCATTTTTGTTATTGGGATTTTACCTTTACTATTTGCAAAAAGAAAAAAAAAGTTATTCAGAGATTTTTAAAGCAGCATTATTCGAAACTGCAGAAAACTAGAAGCAACTTAAATACTCAAAAGGGAAGTGGTTAAATTGTGATATGTTAATGTAATGTAATGCCATAATGAAACAATGATGAGAAATCTTGAAAAACCTTTAAGAAATGATGTAAAGTGAAAAAGCATAACCAGAAGAAGAATATACACTATTATCTAATAAAAAGAAAACTGAATTGGAATTAATTTTCAAAAAATTCCTAAGAGACTTAAAAAGAATATGTGAAAAGTTAGTATGATACTGTAACAATGTAAACGGTTGCAAAGAAAGTTACATCAATGATAGTAATGTTTAATATTAAGTCAAAAATACATGATTTAAACAATGATATTTAAATGCACTGGGTAATGGGAGCTATTGGAGAGACTTATCAAGGGGAGGGACATGCCCAAATTGGCATTGATATAGGATGATCTGCAAAGACTTGGCTAAGGGATGGGAGGAGATCCTGAAGATTCCAGAAAACAGGAGGCTGTGGCGTCTGATTGCCGTAACCACAACTTGAATTGAGGGGTTGGAGGGCCAGAGCTGGGAAAACTCATTCTTAGAAATGGGACTGGGGATAGCCATCTTCATAAAACACTTGGATTACTGTTAGCTTCCTCTCAAAATAGGAGCCTTGGGATAACTGGTTCCAAGGCAACTGGGTACAAACAACAATCTCTTGCATTCTGACCTAGTTAGCAGTGAGGAAGACCTTTCCCTCTCTTTAAAACTCTCAGGTAGGGTAAAATATGACCTCCCTGCCCCCTTTTGCCCATCCACTACTCACTGTAGGATCCCGTTCCACCACCAGTACTCGTATAGCATTTTTCCGTGCCTCCAGCCGCTTCAGCCAATAGGCTACAGACCAACCGATCACACCACCCCCCACGATCACCACGTCTGCATGTTCTGGGGGTAAGTGGCTTGTGTTACTAAATGGCTCCCAGGATCCTCCAGGCCAGACCACTTGAAGTTTCTTCTTAAACTCTGCCCATTTCCCATCTTTGTCTATAGAGAGAGACTACGGTTACAGGGAGCTATTCTATACTCTCTTCCTTTCTCACTCTGGAAGTGAGAACTAAAAGGCTAGGCTGACTAAGACTTGGGATTGGCTTTCCCACCTCAACTGCACTTCTCAAAAGTCTCTCATTGCTTCATTGTAATTAGTCTCCTAAGTGGGCTCCCAGTGCCTATACCCACTCCCCTAAAAAATCCTCAACAGCGATACCAGGTCCGTCACCTTGAAACAATACCAGTACTAGATGTGGTACCTTGGGCAAGTCACTTAATCTACTCTGGACCTCAGTTTCCTCATCTGTAAAATGAAGGAGTTAGAAGAGATGACAAAGTCATTTTCTTGATAACATTCCATGATTCTTTCAGATCCACTTGAGCAAGCAAAGAATCCAAGGTCAAAAGGTTGAATTCCAAACTCATTAACCTGGTATTAAAGTATCTCTTCAATTTAAGTGTCCAACTTGGTGGACTTAGGACTTGGAGTCAGAGGCCCTGGGTTTGAACCCTATTCTGCTATTTTCTATCTTATTATATTCTGCTATTATCTATCTTATTATATCTTATTATAGAACCTATTTTCTATAGGTTCTCAATCCAGGGTCCAGAGTTCCACGGATAGATTTCAAGGGAGTCTGTGAACTTGGAAGGGGAAAAATATTGCCTTTAGTTTCACTAAAATCTAACAGAAACTTAGCATTTCTTGCAATTACTTGAAAACATTATTCTGAGATGGGGTCCATAGGCTTCACTAGACTTCAAGAGGGGTCTGTGACACACACAAAAAGTTAAGAACCCCCTGCTGTTGGGAAATCTACTTCCCCTCTCTGGGCCCGTTTCTTCAAATATTAAATGAGGGGATTAGCCTATGATCTCAAAGGTCCCTTCTAACCCTTAATCTAAGATCCTAGCCTTATTCATCCCTTCCTTTCCCCCAGTCTCCCAGGTCCCAGCAATCTCTTACCACATTCACTGACTCACAGGAAAGCTGCTGGCGTGGATAGAACGGTGGGCCTGGAGTCAGGAAGACCGGAGTTCAAATCCAGTCTCAAAACACTTACTAGCTGTGTTACCCTGGGCATGTCTATGTCTGCCTCAGTTTCTCCAACTGTAAAATGGGGATAACAATAGCACCCACCTGCCAGGATTGTGAAGGTCAAATGAGATGATAACTGTAAAGTGCTTAATATAGTGCCCGGCACATAGAATATGCAGGGTTCAACCACAGAATCTGAGGAAGGGACCCTGGAAGTGAGGTCACTCCCCCCCTTAACTGCTAGGAAAGTTTCCCCCAATTCCTGCTGAATGTCCCCTCACTCAGGTGTGTAAACTGAGGCACAATGACGCCAGCTAGGCGTACGTGGGCAGGGCCAGGCTCCCCCCACCCCCCCCCCCGCCCCGGCCCCTTCAGCCTCTGCGGGAAGGGAAGGCAGTTCCTAAGCGTGGCCACCCTTTTCCCCGGCCCTGGGCTAGGGGCTCTGCCTGGAAGGGAGGGGGGCAGGTCAAGGCGCGGCAGGGTTCCTAGCTTAGCACTCCCGGACCGGTAAGGAGCTCACAGCTCCTAACCCCAACGCTCCCCACTTTACCGTCGAAAGGGCCTCTACTGCGCGTGCGCAGGCCCCGGCTCAGCAATCCACGGGAGAGCCTCAGCTGCAGCGTCAAGCGAAGCATGGCACCCTAGAACTGAGCACCCGGCACCCTGAACGGAGGACCCACCTTCGAGTCATCACCCCGCGCCTCTGGCAGCCAGTTTTCATTGACTTACTCCGGGACACTCCCCTTTACGTAATTGGCCGGAATCATATGCAACTTCCAACCAGCTCTGGCTCCGCCCCCGACACTCATTGGCCAGTCTTCGTATACGCCAGCCTTACCGGACAGGGTAGGGGGAGGGAGGAGAAAAAAAGCCCTGGAGACCTGAAACGGAAGTGCGGCTGTCAGGTTTCCGGGGCCTCTGGTGTGACGTGTCCCGCGCCTGGCGCAGCAGGAAGCGGCAGCGATCGCGGCCCGAGTGCCCCGGCTGCGGCCCGCTCCCCTCTCCTCCCCGCCCCGCCGCCGCCATGCTCGACTTCTTCACCATCTTCTCCAAGGGCGGGCTCGTGCTCTGGTGCTTCCAGGGCGTGAGTGACTCGTGCACCGGGCCCGTCAACGCGCTGATCCGCTCCGTGCTGCTGCAGGTGCCGTCCCCCAGCCGCAACCCCCGGCTCCCGGGCCCCTGTTCCTTCCCCAGACCGCAGCCCTCGGGGATACCTCCCCTGAGTCTACTCCCCGGGAAACGCCAGCCGCCACCCGCCCTCGGATCTCCCCTCTTCCCCCCCCCCCCCCCCCCCCCCGCCCGCCCCGGGCGGCCCCCCCCGCACCCCGACCTCTCCCGCCTGCCTCCGGCCTCGGGGATCCCAGGCAGGAGCAGCTGGCGTTTCATCCTTGCATGCGTGCGTGCGTGTGTGTGTGTGTGTGTGTGTGTGTGTTTTGTTGTATTGTGTTGTTTTGATCCTTCCTTTGGGTGTGGGTGCGTGTGTCTCCACCTATCACTCCTGGAGGCCTCCGGTGCTCCTTTCCTTTCCTCTCCTGTCCATCTCTTCTGCCACCAGCTGCCACCGCCAGGATGCCGAGAGGGCAGCACTGAGACGAGAACCTTTCTATGCCAGGTTTCCTTGCTGTGGGCTCCCTGCACCCCGAACTCCTCATTTGGGTTTGTGTGTCTGGGGCCAGCCTCATCATTGGGACTCTTTCTCTCTAGGAGCGGGGAGGCAACAATTCCTTTAACCATGAGGCGCTCACACTCAAGTACAAGCTGGACAACCAGTTTGAGCTGGTGTTTGTGGTAAGTGGGGTGGGGGCAAAACCAGATTGTATTTTGTAATGCAGCTTTGATAGCTTACTTTATGTTGGGAGGACTTTATTTGGTATTACAGGTAGAGTAAGTGACTTGGTTGGTAGGGGAGGGGTAGAGAAGGAAGCCCTTCTGGACCCAGTCAGGCAATCTGGTCGGATTATGAGAGCATAGACAGGGAAACCTGCCAGATGTCTGAGTGAAGCTCCAGGGGCAATTCAGTATTCGTTTGGCTTCCTCCTTTGGAAGTTGGAGTGTAAACACATCCTCTTGTTCTGTCTCTCTTCCCTGACACAGGTTGGTTTTCAGAAAATCTTAACACTAACTTATGTAGACAAATTGATAGACGATGTGCATCGGCTGTTCCGAGACAAGTACCGCACAGAAATCCAACAACATAATGCCATGAGTCTACTAAATGGCACCTTTGACTTCCACAGTGATTTCATGCGTCTGCTTCGGTAAGGGGGTCCCCAGTTCTTGCTACCGGGTGGCACAACTGAATAGGACACCACAGGGGCAGGCTTATGGGCAGTGTATGATGGAATTGGCTGGAAGAGGAAATTTTTACTGCAACAACCTTTGAAGAACATATGATCTGGAAAGATTTCAGTCTGGGTGACAAATCGCAGATCTCTGCATTAAGTATGAGGTGGGGTCCTGGAAATTCTGGATTACTTAGCCTTGGCCCAGGCCCAGTTTTCTTTTGTGTGGAGAGAAAAAAAAATAACCATCTTCCCTTATCAACCTGCAGGGAAGCAGAGGAGAGCAGTAAGATCCGTGCTCCCACTGCCATGAAGAAGTTTGAAGATTCTGAAAAGGCCAAGAAAACTGTGAGGTCCATGATTGAGATACGTGGGGAGAAGCCCAAGGAGAAAGCTAAGAGCAACAAGAAAAATAAAGGGGCTAAGAAAGAGGGTGAGGCTTCGATCCATGAGTATCTGGAGGTATTGGGCTGTTGAGAGAGAACCAACTTAGGGACCCATATAATTCAGGTGCTTCTTAGACTTTCCCTTAGCGACTACCCTGGTAGCTTTCATTATCACCTCTCATTTCTGCTTTGCAGCTCTGGTGATTCTCAAGGGATTCTGAGGACTAATATTCTCTTGGTGTCTTGTCCCTGTGAAGATGAGAGATTTTTCTTTTTTTTTTTTGGATGACAGATTTTTCCCCAAAATCAAACTTGGCTGGGGCTTAATCACAGCTTTATAAAGTAATTCCTGGCACTTACACAGTTATTTTTAAAACCTTTAAAGATAAAGTGCTTTACATACTCATTGAACTTCACAACATCCCCTTTTTATAGAGGAGGAAACTGAGGCCCATAGAGGTTGAGTTGCTTGTGGTCATACTGCTAGTGTCAGAGGCAGGATGTGACCTCTGTTCCTTCTGACTCCCAACAGCAGTCTCTTCATTACAGTGTGCTGTCTAGCTTAATGAAGTCTCTCTTTCCAGGTTCCGAAGGCTCCTCACCTGCCAGCAAAGGGGCCCCTACAGGAAAGCCTGATGTCCCAGTTGGCCCTGGGGATGGGGTGGAACTGTCCAAAGAAGAGCTAATGCGCAAGAAGCGTGAGGAATTCATGCAGAAGCATGGGAGAGGTGCTGAGAAGTCCAGGTGAGCTGACCTCACCCTCTACTCTTTATTTCCCTACCACAGGTGGTCATGGTTTAGCTATGCTTACTTGGGAGGGAAGACTTAGGACTATTCTCTGGATGGGTGGACAGACTTACTCCTTTTTTTCATCTACTGTTTATTTTCCCTGCTGACCCCACCCCCTTGTCAGTAAGTCCTCAAAGTCAGATGCACCAAAGGAGAAAGGCAAAAAGGCACCTCGGGTGTGGACACTGGGTGGCTGTGCTAACAAAGAAGTCTTGGACTATAGCCCACCTACCACCAATGGAACCCCTGAGACCACCTTACAAGAGGACATCAATCTGGTAAGAGGAAGATGGTGATTGTGGGTGTGGGAAGGGTAGGAGGGACTATAAAGGGCAGGATTCCATTACCAGCAGATTAAAGTAGGAAGAGGAATGGGACTAGGTACCACAGCTTCTGGGCAGCTAGGTGGCTCAATGGACAGAGTGTCAGACCTGGAGTCAGGAAGACTCATCTTCCTGAGTTAAAATCTGGGCTCAGACAGTTACCAGCTGTGTGACTCTGGGCAAGTCACCCCCCCCCCCCCCCCCCCCTCTTTGTCTGTAAAATGAGCTGGAAAAGAAAATGGCAAACCACTCCAGTATGTTTGCCAAGAAAACCCCAAATGGGGTCACAGAGAGTCAGACACAGCTGAAATGACTGAACAGCAACCAAGGCTTCTAGGTCCTCTTTTTGGTGGGTATAAGAAAGTAGTAGATACTCGGAAACCTTTAAAATAAAGGAATGTATAGAACAGTGGCTTTCACTTCTTTTTAGGTCTCAAGAACACTCTTAAAATGTTTTGAGGACCTTAAACTTTTTGTTTATGTGGGCTGTCAGTATTTACTATAATAGAAATTAGTATTACAAAAATAATTTTGACCTTGTGGACCCTCTTCAAAGGCTTAGGGATCCCAGATCATACTTTTGAGAGCTGTTGATCTAGAACTGGGGTCAGTATAACCCTGGGTTCTTGGTTTGGGGAATCTTGGGGCAACATCTCAATCCTGCTGTCACTAATTATGCCTTTTTCTCTTTATCTCCCCATGACAATCCTTAGATCCGAGGAACTCAGGCTGGGGGGCAGCTACAAGATCTGGACTGTAGCAGTTCAGATGATGAGGAAGTCACGAAGAACTCAGCCAAACCCAGGTAGGTTGTGGTTTGGGGTAGGAGCAAGTCACATGGGCCATGGAGAAGGTTGGAGGAAGATGAGTGGAAGTGGTCAGATGTTGGGACCTCCTCACTTCAGAGCATTTTGGATTAGTGGGTATTTAATAGTTTCTTCTCTTTCCAGTGCTACAAAAGGAGCCCTAGGGGGCATGTTTGGGATGCTGAAAGGCTTGGTTGGCTCTAAGAGCTTAAGTCGTGAAGACATGGAATCTGTGCTGGACAAGATGCGAGACCACCTAATTGGTGAGGCCCAAGGAGCTGGGGAAGGGCTATGTTTGTGAGGGTGGGGATTTCTGGGGAGCAGGGCTCATTAACTTACAGTTCTGCCACAGTATCATTCTGTGAGCCAAGGCAGAGGAGGGCTCCCTGGCCAGCTTACTGTTAAGGGTCAGAACAAGTACTGCTGATAATGGTTCTTACATATACCTGCTTTGCTCTGTGTCTTCAGCTAAGAATGTGGCTGCAGACATCGCTCTCCAGCTTTGTGAGTCTGTCGCCAACAAGCTGGAGGGGAAGGTGATGGGCACATTTAGCAGTAAGTATCACCCTGTCCTAAGCATTGTCTGTTGCCCCTCTGGTTAGTGTTCTCATTCTTTAGCATTTGTCATAGAGGATATGCTAGGATGGAATTGGAACACATTTAGCTTGGGGTTGCTAGAAAATAGGAGAGATAACAGCAATACAGCATTGTTTGCCCAAATAATTACAGGGGCTGGTGGTATCAGTATTCCAGGGTTCTTTCTCTCTTTGAGTGCTATGTCTTAGTTCCTGACTCTTTTCCCCCTCCTGCTTCCAGCTGTGACTTCGACAGTAAAGCAGGCATTACAGGAGTCCTTGGTACAGATCTTGCAGCCACAGCGGCGTGTAGACATGCTCCGAGATATCATGGATGCTCAACGCCGTCAACGTCCTTATGTTGTTACTTTCTGTGGGGTCAATGGAGTGGGCAAGTCCACAAATCTTGCCAAGGTAAGGGCTGTTCCCTAGTTGCTGTCTGCCCCTTGCTTTCCTGTCCCACCTTAAGCTGCCATTATCTGTTGCCACCTGTCTTAGATGCTCCCAACCTAA